TTGAACATGAATATCAACTGATATAAAAGAAAATTGTGTCTAATATTCTTCAATGTCTTATCTGTATATCAAGTTTAATAAAAATTATCGTTTTACGGTTGGGTGACGGTCCTTGTTAGTTTATTATAGTTATTATGTTATAGTTATTAGTATAGTATATTGTAGTTTTTAATATTGTTAGTCATTTATAAAGAGATTTTCAAGGAGAGAGAAAATTCAAATTAGTTCGAGTGAGAGTAGTAGGAAATTTTATTGCTCGATTTACCGATTATCCCTTGTTAGTAAAAGATTATTTTGAGCCACAGCTAGATGATTTAGTGCAAAATTTTGAAGTCGCACTGAGTAGGTAAAAATAGTCAAATATCTGATTCTTTTGACTCTCGATTTCTCGATCTCGATCTCGACGAGATCTTGACGAGATTTTGACAGGATTGGCAATACGGTTCAAAATATTCCAGTATCTGTTGTGTTATTAGAAACGATATACAAGTTCTCCAGTTCTTAGATTATGCGGCTTTAAGAATTCCATTCCGTACAGAATGTAAAAACATTATAAATGCATATACATTTATTTGCTGGTAAATGGCAAATTTATACTTTTAAAATCAACGATAGATTTTGTCTTATTAACACCTTTCTTACAATTGGTGAAAAATAAATTGAAAAATCTGAAATTGCTTCTCCCCTTTCCCTGTAGTTTTAATAAATTTGTATTCTCCCCGTGTAAAATGGCTAGATTAATGACAAATGCGTGTGGTTGATTGTGCTGTTGTAGGTGGTATATTCTTTGCAAATAAAATGCGGGAACAAGGGTACATTACTATGCTGGATCCCCTTCAGGATGCGTTTGGTGAACGCATGGGAGGTCTTCTGTTTCTTCCTGCCCTCTGTGGCGAGGTCTTCTGGGCCGCGGGTATTCTGGCAGCTTTAGGTGCTACATTAGCAGTCATCATCGACATGAACCAGGGTACCTCGGTCATCTTCAGCGCCTGTATCGCTGTTTTGTACACTCTCTTCGGAGGTCTTTACTCTGTTGCTTATACTGACGTTATTCAGCTTTTTTGCATCTTCATCGGATTGGTAAGTTGATAAACCTACGTACGTAACACTTAACACTACGTTTACAGAGTACGGCCATTTTCAGTCGTTACGATCCATTCACAAGGTGTCTTGGAAACGGTTTATATTATTCGCCAACAATGCGAATAGACACATTGATTTAACCTCTGTCGATTTAATTACAAAGATACGGGTGTATGGTTAAAAGGTACAGATTGTACTCGGTGGTTCTAGTTACTAAAATTCGAGTTCATATGAATTATTAAATTGAAATCGTTTATGTACTTTTTGTACGATATCCAAATTCATTTCTGGTCATGCTTCCTAATTAATTTTAGTAAATCGAATTCACTTTTTAAAGCATTACTGTGATAATCAAAATCTGATCCTTCGTAAACTTTGTGTTGAAGTACATCTAATCTTCTTCGACACTAGAACTTTTTAATTTGAGGGGGAAAAAGCAAATCAATTAGTTAATAATACATCAAGTGTCCCAGCTGATGGAGACCAACTAAATATATCTCCCTTGTCACTAAGCCGAAATTAAGGAGTTATGAAAGTAATGTCAAGAAGAAATTTGAAATAATTGTATCGAGACGTACGGATTCAGTGCAATAACTGAAGCGACAGTTACGCACTTAGAAAAATCAAGTAAACATGAACTATGTTCGTAGACGCACTTTGCAAAATTTTGCATTTTCGTTTCGTTATGAATGATTATCGAATTCTGTGGCGAAGTTGGTTCCACCAGATCGATAGTAGGGCAAGTATTTATATTACCAAATTTATCCGGTCCTATATACGTAGTGACCTACTTCCTTCGAGAGCATTATCAGACTATTATTCCTTCCAAACTTTGTCAGATAAAGATCAACGTAAGAATCAGCGAAGGACATTTTCTCTCTTACTTTTAGCAAATTGTTGTTTTGTTGTTGTTGTTGCTTGTTTTTGGTAATCTATAATGTCGAGAAACATTTTGACACCGTATTTCGAATAATATTTTTTGAAATATGCATCTTACACTTTTTATATTAATAATGAATATATAATTTTAGTACATCATAATTATTCTCGTAGGGTTAGTTACATAGACACATTGATTTAGCCTGTATCAATTTAATTACAAAAATACGGAAGTACTTTTAAAAGGCACACACTATACACGGTAATTCTAGTTACTAACATTCGAGTTTATATAAATTATTAAATTGAAATCATGTAAGTACTTTTTGTACGATATATTAATAAATATAACGATAGAAAATCTAACATTTCACATTTTCTGGTTAAATATTAAACATTAATTTCAAAGTATTCCGATGCGTCATTATTTTGACATTATTCTGAACAGTAAATTATTAAGAATATTACTAATGAAGAACTAACTTTATCCTCGCTTTTTAATTTCTCTAATATGAAATGCTATCCGTTCATTTCTCCTAGCCTCGCACGAGTTATTCGATATTACGCTTTTTCATTAAATACGTAAAGTTCCCTGCTAGAAGGTATAATTTTCGGTTTAAATATTCACACGAATCCTTCTCTGTTTCGTTGATTCTAGAATTTCCTTTGACGTTTGTCCATTAACTCTAATTAATCGCGATGATATCAAACCCTCGGCAAGATAACTATTCAGCAACAGCGTATTCGACCACCAGTCAAGGATACCATCATCCGTATTTATTCTTCTGTAGTTACTCTACTCAAACAAGAACCTTTTCAGTACTCTAGCTCTTTCATCTTTTCCTCTTTCAATTCCACGTAATTAATGTCGGTAATAACACGATTACAATTTCGCTCTTTATTTTCAGTTACAAAACTTCAAACTAATCGAAACCAGTCTAATTTTTTTTTTCTTTTTTGTTTAAATAATTAAATATATTACAAACCTGTTTTAAGACCGAAGCTATTCCTTTCATTTGTTATTAGACTGCGGATTTTTGCATTTATAGGACATTTATAGGGTATAGTATAATACAAGATATTCCATCTAAATACAGCATAATAATGCAAAATACAGAGTATTGAAAAATCACAGACAATAATACAACGTATTATCACGTGTCTTCAAGATCTTTCTCTCTTTTAATTTCACGTAATTAAGTCGGCAATAACACGATTACATTTCGCTCCTTATTTTCAGTTACAAAATTTCAAACTAATCGAAACCAGTCTAATTTTGATTCTTTTTTCTTTTAATATATTACAAACCCGTTTTAAGGCCGAAACTATTCCTTTCATTTATTATTAGACTGCGGACTTTTGCATTCATAGAAAATTTAAATATCCAAGGAACTACAAAGTGCACACATTGTGTAATAATATAAAAAGAATATTGAAATATTGAAAGTAAAGTTCATATTATAATATTTTCAGAATAAAATAACTTTTTAGTCAGGCTCCATTTTGTAAGTACTTTTACAAAGATTTTGTTTCGCTCAACATCTGCACTCTATTTATTACAAATAAATATTTCCTTAGTTATATATATATTTCATTTATTTATTGTCGCGTCAGAATGTATCCCATTAGCAACCACTGTAAATTCCTTTTTTTAAACTTTTACAAACTACGTACGTGAGTCATAAATAATTTACACAAATAATTACTTACGACTAGGTAAAAAAATTTCTTACATCTAACAATAATAATAATTAATAATTTAACTGTAGTGTCCTGTTTATTTCTGGTTTATATTTCTTCTGATACTTTGTTAATGTTTTCCCAAAATATATATTTATTAAATTAATGAATATTAATGATTAACACAACAGCTTTGAATATTATATTTTTGATGATGCTTGAACCAATTGCTTATGGAATTTGTCACAAATACAAATTCTTGTTATATTCTAGAGACAATTCAATATTAAGATATTGTAAGCTTTCACGACTCGATTTTTTATGGTTGGTACTAACTGACCATTGTTGAATATCAATGCTTCATTCGACCCCTGAAGAAGCCAGCTGTAATGCTGACGAAACTAAAGGGTATCTTATACGACTTGTACCTGGAAGTCTCAATTATTACCAACCATAATTGAATGTCGTTTGATCTGCAGTTTCCGCAGACGGGATTTTATGATTTTTGTTACAGTGGATGTGCATTCCTTTCGCCTGGGCGCATCCGAAGGTAGAGTCCCTTAGTTCCATGGAGGTGGATTGGATCGGCGAGGTGAAGCGAAAGGAGTACTGGTCTTACTTAGATTACGGGCTATTGCTTATTTTCGGTGGAATTCCTTGGCAAGTGTACTTCCAACGGGTCTTGTCCTCGAAAACGGCAGGAAGGGCACAACTGCTGAGTTACGTGGCTGCGATAGGCTGCATCCTCATGGCCATCCCGCCCGTTTTGATTGGAGCGATCGCCAAAGCAACGCGTAAGTTTCTTTTTTTCTCAAATATCAAATTGTTGACAAATCTTTGTATCGAAACATCAATAATGTACAATGAGCAATGAACTTGAATAAGGAACAATTATTATATATATCGTGTGAAGTTGAATAGAAAAATGAAAGAAAAAACTGGCGAAATAAAAATTAACCGAGCGCTCTCTGTTCACGTATGTTTGCACAAACCATATGTCTCCGCATATGTCTCGGTATGCTTTCTATTAATTAATTTTTCGGGGAAAGATGCTGGAAACGACCTCCATATCTTTTTAAATGTAAAAATATTTTACAAAAATATATAGCCAATACACTCTTGTGAGACGGACTGTAGAATGTCATTGATTATAAAAAAAAGAAGCCAAGAAACTACAATGTCACGCAAAAGTTTTTTGGAAAATTGATCGGTGTACGAATAGAATCTACCACCAGGACCTCCTTATTAATTTTAATAAATAAAACGATAGCTTTTAGAGCTTCTGTAAACGAGAGAAACCCTTCTTGAAGCTGGATAAGAGAATCTCTTTGTGAGATTAAACCTGGCATCTCCTGAGATCCTACTTAACCAGGTTCGACTGTGATTCAGAAGTAAAACATCAGTGTTCTTCTTTGTTTGAAACCTTTATTCATACATTTACATGCCGTACATACCTATGTTACATACCTCGCCATCTACAGACCACGCTCTTTACGAGTATTTATATCTTGTCCTTGCATTGCTTATTTATACATTCTCTTTGTCGCGTACAATTTACGAGGAAGGTTGTTTGTATTATTAACATTGTACACAGCTTCGTTTTACGTGAAATTTCAACCGCAGTCGTGTAAATTTCGCGACCGTATTCATGTTACCATTGGAATAATGCATTTCTCCTTTTGTAATACAATTCCGCGAGTAGAAATAACGATAATTAACGCGAACGTACGCGTCATGGTAATAGTTTACAACGAATCATTTTAATGCTATTTTCATTTATGAAAATAATTAGTCGGCAAAACATTCATACTGTACGTTACTCGTGTCATTCGAGTTTCATTCATCTTTTACTCGATTAAAGGAAGACAGCCTTTATTATTCGTGAAACTATTTTTTGGGGAAAAATCAGGTCGCATCTTCAGATGAAAATATCGAACTATACGGAAATATAGTTTTATTGAGATAACGAAAAGAACATAATTTGTTTCAAGCTTTTAACACTTGTCGCTCCACAAAGTGGTAAAAAAAGACGCTACTTAAGTTTATAAGGTAGTTATTTATATGCAAGAATGTTTATATACGTTGCTGTTATATTTACATATTGTTGAAAAATTATTATTGTCGTCAAAGATAGAAACTATTTTTTAATTCATTTTTCCCCCTTTTTTATATTAACTTTATATTTCAAGAAATAAATAACAGAGATAAATGAAATTGAATGAATCATTTAAAAACAACGACAGACACTTTCGAAAACGCGGTATATAATTTTCACCGGCTTGCAGCGAGCTCTAAATACAATAATAACAGAATAAATAATGAAATAGTAATACAATTCCAGTCGGAGTGATAAAAGTTACATTCGTAACGAAGCGGATGGCATTCAAAATATCGTCCTCCGCATTGTATCAGCACATTTTTTAGTGAACCGAATATTAAAGGGTTAAAAATTATATATAATTTTCTCAAAGACTGTAATATAAGAATTTGATGTAACTAAATTGTATTTACCACAATTATTGTACGCTGTATAAGCCACTTATGGTTTGAAGCAATACAATAAATAAATAATTATTCCTTTCGCAAAATTTATCCGATTTCGTCGCAATGACACTAAATTCGACTTCGCCTGTTCTGTTTTGGCCCGCGTATTGGTTCACCTTGTCTGGTTCGAGGGGGTAGAAACATGTTTCACGGGTTCCCGAAGCTAAAGGGGATTGAATTAGACCCCGGTTTGCTCTACATCCATCCCTTCCCCTCGACCGGCACATTCAGAGGCTACTTGACATTTCGTAGCACTTGGGAGAGAGAACTGCTGGTATTTACAAGGTTCCAGGGCTAAGCGGGTCGGTGTTGTAACGGAAGGGTGCCTCGATATCCCACAGTGTGTACAATAGCGTGGGATTTTGTCATATGGCATCCGCGGCGCGAAGGGCGAGGGTGGTAATGCGACTCGTCCAGTAACACGGAATACAATAGAATCACCGGAACTAATGTACACTCTATGCACTGTATCGGTATCCTTTGTATTTTTATTCCGTTACGGAACGAGATAGATTTCTTTAAGTTTACTAAGTGCACGCATGTGGGACAACGTTTTCAACATCGTTCTTAGCTGTGGAACAATTTACATTTTCTATACAATACAATACAATTTTTGTATACATTTTGTATATATTTCTATTCTTCTTAGAGGATATTCTAGTCTCGAGCGTCAATTTATAGTTCTTTTTTGGCTTGGTTTATTAAAGCGCGTAACTGATTTAATCTTCAGT